GTAGAATCAGTTATCCGCACTCATGATTGAGAGGGGATTAAATAGGTTCATTTCCTAGTTCAAAATCTCTACAAATCCTACAATACACAGTGCTACAGACTGACCTAGCAAATTCATGTCTCAGAATATTTTTTTTAACACTTAGTAAACTCTATATAAATGATATGGCTTATAAATAAAGAAAATATAATACAACACAAAGGTACAACTTTACATGTTGATTAAGGATCTGGGTTCACAGTTTAAAAATTTAGGTAATTAGTGTTAATTAATGACCTTTGGAATAATTAAAGATATTTAGAATATTTCAAAAGTAAATTACGCTGTACCTGCAAGTTTTAAATCACCTTTATATACATTCTCTAAATAATAATTAGATACTGACAGATATTGGTAAGCCATATGGATAGACATACAGTACATAGATTGACAGACTGACAAATACTTGTATTGATAAATAGATTGACAAATATAGATAAAACTGAACTGAGATAGGTATTGATAGATAGATATTGGTAGATAATAGATAGATAAATTGATAGATATACTGAGAGGCACAGAAAGACAGACACACAAACATACATAAGCAGTTAGATCAGTGGTTCCCAACCTCTTCCATTCTGTGACCCCCATACAAGATATGATAACTTCAGTTGCCCCAGTCTAAATTGTTCTTCGATGAAACAAATTAAACGCCACTGGAATGAGTAGTTGGATATATTTTATTATTACTTGAGGTATATACAGTACCAGTAGCTACATAAAATAGAACTGCCACACAATAAAAGATTCCAAGTCATGTATAGTGTATGTGAACAATTGCTCCTCCCCGACTTACGACCACCCGGACATACGACCGCCTCAGTCGTACCAAAATTTGTCAACTTACGTATATTCCGAGTCCCAACGTCAGTGATTGCGCTGTGTACTGACAAAATTTTCATTTGTAATTCGCTTTAAAATGACTGGCAAGCTTAAAAGTGAGAGTTTTGTGGTGCTGAGAAGAAAAAGAGACACCCATTTTAGATTTTCTATGTATTATTTAAGCATTTTCGACTTACGACCTGGATTTGGGTCCCTAACCCAGTCGTAAGTGGGGGAGGAGCTGTATTTTGGATGCTATAATGCCGGCCACAAATATAAGGGTTGCTGATCACTGGTTTAAACTCTGGCACTCTGCTCGGAGGGTCAAGCCTTGTTTAGTTTTATTATGAACTCACACTGTTTAAATTACCCCCATGGTCAACAGGCTGGGAACCACTGACTGTTAAACAGATAGAAAGATATAAAAAAGGAAGACAGACAGACAGACAAATGACTAACAGCAGCACAGTTACAACAACTTGTCTTAAGAGTTTGACGAGCACAAAGATTTCCTGCATAGGCTATGAGAGCTGTTCCTATTGTTTACCTTGCAATAGGTGGTGGTGATGCTAGTAGTGGTGGTGGCTGTGGTGATAGTGCTGGTGGGAGCTCTTGTTCCATGCTCCAGTTATAATTTTCAGCTGTTATAGAGCAGTTCAATTTCCCAAAGTTTTGTTGTAACATCTGTAACAAATAAAGCATATATTTACTATAAAAAACATGGGGAGGTTAGGTTAAGTTTACTTTAGAAATAACCACTTTTAACACATTTGTACAAACTACAACAGTGTCCACAGTATAACAGTGAAATTGCGGCGTTTTTATAATCGTTTCCAATGAAATATCGGTCACGGGTCAGTCATCAATAATAACCATAAGATATACCAGTACAGTATTAACATATATCAAATATTCTTGGGTAAATATTCGTCCACTGGCTGTCCTCAGGTCTTGATACATAAATAATTTATTTGGTCATTTTATCGTTCATTTTACTCAAATATGACCTTCATTTCAGGAGCAAATTAACATCTTTTTAAAACATTAACATAAAAGTGAGAACAGGACGATAAAGTGAGAACAATTATACCAGTACTATATAATACGGTAACTAAAGTGATCAGCTTTGTGTTAATTACTGTACTATGTCTACTTAACACGGCCATATATACATACATAATGTTGACTTACCACGAGGGAGGGAGGAAGGCCCACAAATTAATTTTTAACTCAAAATTAACCAATATACACAACACGACCATGATGGTTGTTGTCGACCTGCTACACCTTGTCCGATTCTCTCTCTTATCTTTCAGTAATTACAAGTTTTCATTATTATTACGATAATAAAAGCATTTTAATAATAAGATTATATCACATAATTAAATTTTACTTTTATTATAATATAAAATTATTGAAAAAATGCCACCTAATAGTAATATATTATTATACTAAACTTAAGCCAGTTTCTAGAGAACCAAACAATTTGGTAACATTTACAAATCCACCAAAATAAAATAAAATATTTTTCCTTTGGTTATTTCAAGTCTATTTATTAATAATTTATTAATATTATAATACTATATATAAGTTATAATGACATAATAAATCCCCATATTATCTATATAACTAAAGAAGAATAGTAATAATAATTATTACTCTCAAACTAAACAATTATTGAACAATAACGCTTAAAAAATAATTAAATATAATATATAAACTTAATTATGATTAAATACCTATTATCTTATTAATAATTAATAGCTCTTGAATGATGAGGACCTCACAATATAACATCCTGGGTTCAGGTCCTGTTGGCTAAGACATATGAGAAGGGTGTGAGTACCTCTGAGTACTCACGTTGGCCCGAGACACACATGGGAATGGTGTTTGAGTACCTCCCACTATCATGTTCTGTTGTACACATGTTCTACAATATTGGGGTTGTAATAAAATAAAATATTCTGCAATAGTTTAAATACTATTTTACTACCCTGTATATCCTCTTCACCACTGAACGGCTCGTTAGCCGCTTGGGCTATCACATTCTGTAAGATATTTATGTTTGGGGCACATCATGGCCAAAAATAAAGTGTATACAGTTATACTACCCTTTAATTGATCACTTAATACTAGGGTTTACTTCTTAACTTAGGGTCGCTGCCACCAGACCACAGGACAGTATGTGTAGTTATTTTGGGGGAAGCTGGAAAGATGTCTAGCAGTGTGAGTTTAGTCTAGCAGTGTGAGTTTAGTCTAGCAGTGTGAGTTTAGTCTAGCAGTGTGAGTTAAGTCTAGCAGTGTGAATTAAGTCTAGCAGTGTGAGTTTGTATTTTCATTAATCAAAGTTGAGTGATTATATTAAGGAAGAAATAAAGGAAATGTGACTTTAGCCAGGTTAACTCCCCCGGGCTACAGGTATGTGTTTAGTGAAGATCCTTGAAAGAGAATCATAATTTTGAAATAATTACTATACCTGTATTTGCTGAAAAACAGTGGAACCTCTTGTCTTACCAGGTAATTTACTGCATCAATAATTCGTTTCAGAATTTCTCTTTTCTTTTTTACCTGCACATTGTGTCGGCATACTTCAGCTTTCTGTTGACTGTCAATTAGTGCATCAATTCTTTGTTTACCAAAGATTTTCAGAGCAAAGAAAGACTTTTTGAGGGGAATTAGCCCTCCCAGGCACAAGTCACTGACCTACATTGGGGCCTGGGGGGCCAAAAATAAAATAAACTGCACCATAAACAAATACAGAAATGGAAAAAATAAAGCAAATTAAGAGTGAGAAGCAATATATATGTTGTGTTGTCATAGTAAGAGAAACAATTGAGACCCTGCAATTGTGTGTAAATGAGGCAGAAAGTCAGATCAGCAACCTGGGACTTGGTCACAATATATGTGATGCCATGTGGCAGCAGGGTCTACCATTAGACAACACATTATGTTTCCAATATCTTCCCAGGTGGTAGTACCTCCCTGTTTGATAGCTGCCTGCTACCTACTACCTAACTGAACATGTAATTGAGATCTTTTATGCTTCTGTTGAGCTTTGATAAATGATTGAGATCAGAATGTCCACATTTACTTGTCACACCACACAGTAAATCTTAGATGGAACCTTCACAACCACTCAGCCATTCTATTGTTTGATACCGTGAAAAGGAGAAATATCTTGTATAGTCAGATTTTTTTGTACTGAGAATTTGAACAAAATTACAGAAATCGTGATTTATGGCCGAGACACCCACCACCCAAACCCTTTTCACTAAAACATGGTATTTAATGGGTTTAACTAATTTAGTACTTCCAGAATAACACAAAAAAATGCTCTCAGAAACCCATAATTGGCGAGTAATTAGCATTGAGTGAAATGTAAACTGTGCTCCCTAACCCCTTTACTATGGGGATGTCTTCCTGTAACTTTATTATGTTACACTATAATAAAAATTACACAATACACACATGTTTGCCTTACCTTTATTTTGCATAATTTTTACAATTACTGCAGTGGACCGAAAGGAAGCAGCTTTACTTTGTTTGTGACATATGTTTGGGTGCTGTAAAATAACAAAAGCAGAGTGCAGATCAAACAGTGAAATCACGAAGGTTTATAGTAAATTAAAATAAATTTCTTGGTTTCTTTTATTTTAAGAGATAAAGTGACTGTGTACAATATATCCACACATATTCAAGGAGAGTAATTTACAAGTGAACAAATACAGTTTTCAACATACATTATGTACAAGGACAACAAGGTTGCTAACTTTGTAACGTATATAACTATGGACACCGTAGTAAGCACAATCAAACATAGATCAGTTAAAAGCAAGACCTGTAATACTCATGAAAGGTAGAAAATTTACTTTGAATCTGATATTTATTCTAATGTCTCTCTTTTAACGTATCACAAGCTTCAGTAGCAACGTTATTATATAATATTTCAGTCGATTGAAAACTTGTATATAAGCAAGATTATTAAAATATTTAAAATCAGATAAAAATGTACTTATACATTATAGGACTAGACAAGTCTGTTGGAAATTATAATTCACATATAAAAACTTGATAAATGATATTACCAGATTTATACATGCACTGTACAAAATGGCCTGGGGTATATGGTGACCCTTAATACACCTTGATAACACCAAGAAGGGTTATGTGGTACTGGGACGAGGTGCATAGCTCACTGGGACGAAGAAATTGAGCACATGTATATGCTAGAGAGCACACGTAGCACAAGTACACCCACCACCCCATCACTCAGGCCCACAGTACAGTACAGTACAGTACTGTACTGTACCCAGAAATGTGATTTATTCCATTATTCAGTTTATTATATATACCCTGGGTTTATCATAAGAATTAGGAGTTAAGTATTGTGGTCTAGACTGATCTGTATTATGACTAATATTCTCAGTTTAACATATGTTCGTCGTGCCGGTTAGCTGTCCGAGGATCACCGAGAATATGTAGTAATATAATGACTCTCCCCTGCATAAGCCTGGATGATGGAGGTGTGGGCGTGTAGCTGCTGCTATGGCTACACTTTATCCGTGAACTGTTACACAAACAAAATATTTTATACCATTCTTTCATTACATCGGGAATAATCAGTAAAATACAGGACAATGAAGATACTGTACTCTATTATGCAATGAAGAAGTAAATAAAAATATGAAAAATAAGAATTGAGTAAAGTAGTTACACAGAACATCAAATACTTGCATTAGTCTTATAATATCTTTGCTTTAGTATAATGAAACTTAATATTCATCCTGAATTATATCAATGAAGGAAATGTTTGCTAAAAGCATTTTTTTTTATTCATTAGCAATAGTTTTCCATGTCATCCCATCCTTAATTCTTCCCTCCAAATAAACGTTTCATTATCCTTTACAACTTTGTTCTCTCTTTCATATCAACTCCCTGAAAACCATGAGATGAGAGCTGGACCTGATGCAGTGCCGTCTGGCCCTCGGCACCCAGACTTAACAGCGAGCGCCTGGCGGCTTCCCGAACCTCTCCGCTGGAATCATTTTGTTGGAGATAAGAGAGGACTTCTATAGGGCGCGGCCATTCAGTTGTTCCTTCGCGGGGAGCCGGGGAGGTACGTTTCTTCGATTTGTTTGAGCTTTTACCGAGAATTGGTTTGTGGTTGTCCGTCTTATGTTCAGTATTAACAGGAACGATGGGGGCCAGCACCCCCAGTAACACACACGCAGCCTCTCTATCACTTGTACGATTAGACTCTAATAGAAGTAGACACAGATCTACAATCTGTAATATTTTTAAGTGATAAATATTTTAACCTATAAATTACAAAATACAGTATAATTATTTTGTACAATATTTGTACTTGTGTGAGATGAGTTATCTTATTTAGGGATATTAAATGTACAGTATTGAACAGGGTACTGTGTATAAAATGGAACAAAACAGGGTTAGTGAGGATTAGGAAATAAAAGAATTGATTCATTAATTGTTTTTACAAGTCTCTTATTTTCTAACCCTAGTCAACCCCAACACCCTGTATAAATAAGTTGCATCTCTTATTCCTTATGTGCCATCTTCTACCAACTTCTCATATGTAAACACTTACCATTACAGTACTGTATTGTACTATTATTTTTAAATGTGTTGTTACAATACTTGTAATTGGAGGAAGAGCCAGTGTGTGTATTAGTACCTGACTCAGTCACTCTGCCATACAATTTAATGGGAAGATGTTGAAAGAATGAAAAAATAAAGAAAACTTACTAAAGTATTCTCATCTCCTCTTTGGGTAAGAATAATAACATAAAATGAAACATAGTTATTTACTGTTATATTGTACAAACAGAGGCTGTGAAAAAATGCTAAGCTAAGCAATGACATTGTAAATGACATTATACAATAGATACTGTCAAGTATTATGAGTCTAGTAATGTAACTGTGACACAGAACAAAAAAGGTTACATAATTAAGTTATTTTTCGTTCGTCTTTAACCTTTATTTATAACACATTAACACCAAAATTGCACTTATGAAACCCATAATTGGAGATAAATTAGCATTGAAATATTTCATTAAATTTTCCAAGCGTAATTACAACCACTAATTACCCCGCAGTCGAATCGTGGACCTCATATTCAAAATCACCATGCTCAGGAGTACCTATACGTAATACACTAAATGAACAGAGAGATCATTTCATTTTGAGGAGAAGAATTTTTAGTAATACACACACCACAAAAACACCACACCACACCACACCATTGTACTGTACAAAAGTTGACTTACCATGTGCATCAGCTGGTTGTTATGAGCCAAACTATTAACAAAACTGGTAGTAACGTGACGCAGCTCCGATGGTCCTGCTAACAAGTGTCCAATGACCTTTATGTGAAGAGCTGTGGGTTCCTTTATCTGATGAAGTCCTGCTTCAACTCTACAAGAAAAACATTAAAGTTTCTTCCTCAATATATATTTTTATTATACATACTGTACTTCACCTGGAAAATTTTCAAGTAATGAGAGAGAATATTTTGAACTTTATTTATTTACTAGAGATTATCCTACACATTGACCAATATCACACATCCTGCCTTATCTTCCTATCTCTTGATATGTCACTTCCCTAGGGAGCTTCATTCTTTCACTTAACCTTAATGTATTATACCAGTACATTACCAGAGTTGGAAAATTAATTAGTTCTTTCCAAGAGTCATTAGGACAAATAATTGCCAAAATTTAAACTTTTTGACCCAAGATATTTATTTTATTTTTACCTCTTGGTGCATAAACACTGTTTGGATGCAGTTAACAAAAGCTTGTCCCATGGTTCACTTCACAGCAGAACTCTTGTAAGCAATATTTTCTTGGGGGCAACTCCTTTAGGTGTATTAACTAATAAAAGATATAATAAATACCCACCATCTCTGGGACCAAACAAATTCCACATTGTACTTATACAACGACTCATCTCAAAACAAAATAATCAATGAAAATTTGTAGTTCTTACCAATCACATAATTTTTCTTTTATGTATATTAATCAATTCATAAATGGAGAGAAACAGTACAAAAAATAAGTAAGGAATACAACCCTACAACTAGACTCACTTGGCCGGGCTGCCAGATAATAAGAGGTCTGCCGTGGTGAGACTCTGAGCTAATGTAGGAACAGTGTGTTGAAGAGGACGATGTAAGTGGTGAAGGAAGTGTCCGACTGTCACCATCATCGCCCCATCGTAATCTTCACTATCCGTCATCATGCGAACAATTTCTTCCAAAACTGGAATGAAGAAGTTTCTTAGAGGAAGAAGATGAGATGGTAGTGAGGGAGATACAGTACTGATCAATAACTATTAGTCTATATTTTTAAGAAAATGTATAGAAAGGTGATTTAAAACTTACGGACACAGCATAATTGACTTTTAATTACCTTTAATTAACTCAAAGGTCATTAACTAATGCTAATCACTCGAATTTTTAAATTGTGAACCCAGATCCTTAATCCTCCTTTGTATGAAATTTAAACAAAATCTATTTTTTTACTCCAAGAGCCGAAAACTAAGGTATTAGGTCAGGCGTATTTTTTACGTAAATCGATATTTTGGGGGAAAGTGAAAACTAACATCTTTTTATGGTAAATATAAGTACTGCATATTAAAATTACTTCTTCTAATTACTCTGGAATTTATTTATTTTTTTTAACATATAAACATCAAACATTACACACACCTCTCCTTGCTAAACCCGGAACAGCCGGATCTACCAGAGTCGACACAACTTGGAGGAGGCCGCTGACTACCGCCTGGCCCGGCACACACCAGTCATCTCCACCAGCTACAGAATCCCACAGAACCTGCAGAGCCAAATGTCTCTTTGTTACCTCAATACCTTTCCCTCACACATACTTACATCCACTCATGCGTACTGTAATAAGAATCATGGCATTTTTTTAATTTATTTCATATACAGCTGTGAAGGTGATTATATATATATATATATATATATATATATATATATATATATATATATATATATATATATATATATATATATATATATATATATATATATATATATATATATATATATATATATATATATACACACACACACACACTAAAAAGATTAATATATCATAAATCTTCTTCAGTATTTCATAATAGATAATGTTATAATTTTTTGGTGAACTTCCTCCGTTATTTTCACCAACTCACACACTTCATTCTTCCTCTGTACCAACTCCTTATGATCTTACACAACATTTCTTCACATGACATAAACATTATAACCTTCTTACTCTCTCTTACCTACAGTACTCTCTTCCTCTTAACCTATATAATTCAGTAAACATTCTTCTTCTTTTATTATAAACATTTCATCAACTTAATCTTTTTGTTCCCTCAATTCTCAACTGTTCCTGAAGAATGTGATGTATTTGCTGAATAAATATCTATTTATCTATCTACATGAACAGGACCAGACCATCATCCTCACCTGTACATGAGGGACCGTGATGATGTGTTGATGCTTCAGGCTATCAAAGTTGTGTCTGTGGGCCAGGATGCCGGCCACCAGGCGACCCTCCTCCTCCAGCAGCTTTAGGGAGTGTCGCTCTTTGCTTCTCAACGGCCCAAATGACCCCAGGTGCTAAGAAGATAAGTCGTGGTGTGAGCTGATGATACAAGTTATGAGTGAGGACCTTGTGGAGAAGGAACACCACTAAGGAAAAGTGTGTGTGTGTGTGTGTGTGTGTGTGTGTGTGTGTGTGTATGTGTGTCTGCTCTTGACTCTGGCTAACTTACAACAAATGTGAAAAAAGAACAACAATGAATAGAAAGGAACTGGTCCATTTCCCTTGGTCAGTGTGTCCACCAACTGTACTGTACCTGCAGGAGTTGAAGAGAGTGTCTGAGGTGGGTGTAGAGGAAGAGGTCAAGTTGTGGGTTGCTGGTGACTAAGGGCTGGGAGATGTCTGGCACAGTTGAGGCAGCGAGAACAGCGGCAGCTTCCTTGCTTTTCTTCTCCTCACACGCCTGTTCGGAGGTCCATAATACCCATGTTATTCATTCATGAGGGCAAATATATATGTATTATAAATATTTACTAATCACACTACTATCTTATGTCTCTTAACTCTATATCAACTTTACAATGCAATTAAATAAAAGACTCATAAAAATATTAGATGTCCATTGTATTAAGGAGTAACTCAGGAGCCAGATACTCACTGCAGGATTGTCATCATCAAAATCATCATCACATTCTGCATTGAGAAAATCAAAGCATTCCAGGGCAGACTCCACAGACAGACTAATTTCCGAGGTATTGCTGTCTCTTCTACTGCGGCAGTGCTGGAAAGTGTATTTTATTTCTTGAGACCGATGGAAACCATTACATAAGTTCAGGGGAAGAAAGTGTCCAAACAAAACGGAGGAAGAATACAATAACCCACATGATAGATGATCACAGCACAACCTGACAGTGTCTAGTGTCCTGGCATCTGAGGCACAGGAAAGTCACCAAATTTAGACTAGAACAGTAAGAAGAGACGCTAGGAAAAGGGAAGCAATAAGCACACACACTCTTAACAACATTTAGTGAAGCTCAAAAACTTAGTGGGCTAAATTTGAAACCAAAGGGAGATGTATTGTCGTGTTCTTCAGCAGCTGTGAGAGTGGGCAGAACATATAGGCTTGGAGACGAAGGTAGAGAACTACCTCTACAGTGCAGTATTACCAGATGGGGGGTGAGGGTCCTTTCCCAGCAGTGATCACATACATACAGTGACACCTAATCACTACAGTTCTATCAGACCGGGAAATAACAAATCTTTTACTCGATGAAAATTAAGTGTTTATATTTTTCATGAATTTAGAGTATTCCAAAGTCTGGTTTAAAAAAACATGACTCTTGAGTATGTTGTTGTGTGTGATCCCTGGTCCAGCCACCCATTAACACAAGCAACAGTCCTTCTACCTTACCTATAGATATCAAGTCAAATCAAGAAGAATCAATATTGAAATTACAGGTTACAAAAGATAAGTCATTAAGGATCAGTCACAGGTGTATTAAGTTGTATGAGAAAATACACTTGAAAAAGAAGCATCAGTCACATTAAGATCCTACATCTGGTCTCATCCAACACAACCAAAAACTGGCAGCTGTGATGTTATTATTAATGAGGTAATTATTACAGTGGTGACAGATAATAAATCATAAGAAAATTTTTACAATGTTAAGCACAAAAGATATTAAGTGAGAATTATATATAAAAATAGGATAATGAACCGTGATGAAGCAAGGGAGGGTGGATGAACTAATAACTTTAAAGCAGGGTAAAAGATTCTTAAATTGATAATGTCAGAATAGATAAACAAGAGATAATTAAACATCTAATACAATTTGTTACATTGCATTACGACACATTACATTATAGAACACAAAACTCATCATCATATAAAGCGAGGAATATAAAGGTACTATCTACAATACAAACTTCTTACTATATATTACTGACATGCAAAGCTTCAGCAACACAAAAATAAATTAAACAAAGCTGAGATAATGAAGTAACAATGGAAAGAGATTATGTATAAATGGATCACTTATAAAACTATAGCAAGTGTTGAAGCCGTGACACAAACATACATGTAAGATCCATAAAGAACTATGGTGATGTGAGTACTGAAGTAATCATGGATGTTGTAGTAGTCATTTGGGGGATCTGGTCAACAAGTTAGTGAGTGGATAGACTGGTTGTCATTAAAGGGTACAGGAAACAGACTGGGTCAATAAGTTAGTGAGTGAGGTGGTAGTATCAATTAATCAGGATCGGCTCTAACTTCTGAGGGGCCCTGTGCAAGATAATGGTTGAGGGCTGCCATTCCTTAGACAACCCTCCAATCAAACCCAGTCCCTCACCCACACTGGCACAAAAAGTCATCAACCCAACACCAATACCTATAAAAACAGACAGATACTAGGAGTGACATTTGACCACATCCCCATCACGACACCATAACATCATGAAAGCAGCAATAGCACAAAATGCACTCACAGGTAGACAAAGATTCAGAAATGCAGCAACACAAACCAAAACACACTTATACAAAGCACTAATATGCCCCCTGTTAACATACGCACCCAACACACTCCAGTTAACACCACCAGCCAACAGCAAGAAACTACAAGTCATACAGAATAAATTACTGAGGTTCATACACAACACACACACTGGACATCACTCATCACAAACAAACACCTACATGAACACAGCAACATTCCACCTCTCAACATCTACTGGAGACTATTAAGTGACAAACAGATAGAAAAACTCCTAACCACATACCCACAATGTGACGACATCATACTTTACCGCAGATACGGAAGCAGGAACTCCGCCATACTAAACAGACCCAATGAACCATACCAGGCCCCCTTTATACTAAAACAAGCAATCAACAACAATAACATCCTCTATCTGCACCTCTGGGCGGCCTGAGAACAATCCACGTACACCATATCATGCCACTCTTAGTTCTGTTATTCTCCTCTCACCATTCTACTCAAACTCTGATGGTGCAAACCCCGAGCATGCTAATTCTGAATCTATGGTCCACGATTCAATTGTGGGGTAATTAGTGGTCATAATGATGCTTTAAATTTTTAATGATTCTTTTTTCAGTGCTAATTACTCGCCAACTATGGGTTTCCGAGGTGGGGTTTTGTGTTGTTCTGGAAGTACTTTATGAGTTAAACCCCTTTAAATTCTCAAGTTCTTCACATTCCTCTGTCACCGCCTCATTGACCAGATATGGAAACTTGTGCAACACAACACATCAGAACTGATATATGAATCCTACTAAACAACAAATATATTGTATTCAGGAGGAGGCCCCCTAAGTGATGGGGGCCCTGTGAAGCCACACAGACCGCACATAGCTGGGGCCGGCCCTGTAGTTACTAAGTGGACAGGCTGGTGGCCACTATAAGGGGGAGGAAGACTGAGTCAATAAGCAAGTAAACTGGTATTGAGTAATGTGCTAGTACCAGTTACTAAGACTAAGTAGACACACAGACTGTTTGTCACTATTGGAGGGGGGGGGAGAGACTGGGTCAATAAGCTAGCAGTGAGGCACTAGTGGAAGTTACTAAGTGGACAGACTGGTGGTCACTATGAGGGGGGGGGGGAGACTGGGTCAATAAGCTAGCAGTGAGGCACTAAGTGGACATGTCTGCAGCTGATCGAGATAGTTGTCTGTACAGTAGAAGCCGCCTCACGTACAGTACCAGCCTTGCTCATAGGAGACATCGTTAATGGTGAGTCTATAGTTTGTTATCAGAACTATAAATCTTACACTTTATACTCACTTCAGGATTATCATCATCAAAATCATCATCATATTCTGCACTCAGGAAATCAAAGCATTCTAGTGCTGACTCAACCAAGAGGCTGATCTCTGAGGCATTGCTGTCACGCCTACTGCAACAGGTCTGCAATATGTAGACTTTTTTAAATGGGTTCTGACTGACTCCAGGATGGGGGTGACATTACTGGTCAGGTACAGAGGCAGGGAGAGATAAGAGGCTGAAATGGTGAATTATTTGGTTGTTGGGTGAATAAACCTCACTTCTACTAGGCCCTAACCTAACCTAACCCAACCATTAATGACTGCGACCTATGATGACTATTACAACTGGGATTCATTACTAGTGGTTAGGATTGTTTAAATTACAGTGGGTTGGGGTCTACTAGGACTTGGATTCAATAGTTAGGTTAAGTTAGGTTAGGTTAGGGCTTATTAGGACTGGAGTCTACATCACCAGTCATACATAATAATGGTCTGTGCAAAAAAATTTTAGCACCACAAAAAAGGGAAATGTGTTCCTAAATACTACATGTACAGTACAGCACTACAGTACACAGGACACGAATAAAAACTAGAGTGTTGGAACATTACTGAAAGAAGGTGACAATTAAAAGAAATACAAGTGTAGAGACATACAAGACAAAATAAAATGGTTTTGTATCTCTAAAACAGAACTTACAATGTGCTGGGAAATCCTACAACATGGTATGGTAAGGTTAAGTACAAGATGTTTAAATAAAGCTGATGATTAGCAGCTGTAGTGAAGAAAACAGCAGCAGTCTTGTAAAAAAAAAAGAAGGAAAAAAAAGCCAATTATTCAGAACAGTGTTAAGGGATGAATCAAAAATTTTCAGTAAAGCAAAGCAAGTGTTAGAATAATTATGTAGCCAAATTATACAGTTTTTAGTGTTCAAGATACAATAATTATATACAGTTAACAGCCTCATAATAAACCACAAGCCATACTCAGGTGTTTCACTCAACAACAACAAAATAATATAAATTACTACAACAAGACTAGAATATTAATCTGTGAAACTTGACAATGATAATGATGATGATAATGGTGATAATGATGGCTGGGGAGGTATGATAATTGCCCATTTTTTTTTAACAATCGGTGCAGCAAGTCCGAAGAGGAATCCTGAACATCGGGTCACTTTTAAGTAACCCAATAAATGAATTTCTCAAACCCAAATAACAGCTTTGATGACTCCATTTCTCGAGCCACTTTAAACTAACCTCATGTTCGGAATTCCTCTTCAGACTTACTGCCCCGAATGTTAAAAAAAAAAAAGGGGGGGGAAGTGACGTGAAGTTACGTTACGTTAGGTATGATAAAGTGAGTTAGGTGAGGTGAGGTTAGGTTAGGCTAAGGCAGGCATGGGTAACCTTTCCTGTCATGGGCTGCATTACTATTTAAGTATTTTTCTGCGGGTCAACCTACCAAAATTTATATCTTACCTAACCCAAAAGTAATGTTAATACAGTATTGCATTAGCACAGGCAGTGAAGCAGTTTATCCTCACGTCCACCTTACAATATTTTCAGTTTAAAATCAGTCTTGTTTCCATTTATAAAACAAATCCACCCAAATAATTTTCAAAGTAGGTACTGTAATTTGTTAATGTTTCCTGGTATTTAACAGAAAAAGAGTGAAACAGTCTGTGAAAACATATACAGTAATATATATACCTGTGTTATTCTGGAAGTATTTAATTAGTTAAACCTTGTGTGACCACTGCCTGTGACCCCACTTGAACTTACCCAACCTTAGGTAATTCACAAGTGACCCACTGCCATAGACGTAACAACTATTCCATCAAACAGACCGCGCCGAACTTGGTCCGTAAACTCACACAAGTTAAAATGTTTATATTGTTGACTATATACTTATTTCACTGTTATGTTCTCGTAGTTACTTACTCTAAGGTGATGAAACAGTAACGACTTGTGTGTGAAGATTATTCTTTTAATAAATATTGCTTTATTCACCATATACTGGCTGCATCTACCTGAACCACAGGCCACATTAAATAGAATTTCTCAATCACTCTCCGGCCCGCACAAACACATGGTACGGGCCGCGGGTTGCCCATGCCTAGGCTAAGGCCATCAAAACATACAATGACTTATATGAAGGGAGTAAAATAATAGTAAGTTAGGTACACGAAGCCTAAAAATAATGTACAAATAAAAGCAAACTAATTCCACTTAATAGTCTCACATTCATCTTCCCAATAATCATATAAAACAAGTAAGATTTCTGACCTACTGGTGGCAGCAAATCAGGGGTTAATGGCCATTGTTCCTGAACTTTTTCTTAGATCAAATCAAATTACATGAAACTAAAGGTACAAACTATGAAGGGTTCACATCAGAGGTTCAAATTGGCTGTGATATTGTTTTTGGTGTTATGTGCAAAAATGGATTACAAGGAATATAAGACGTCTACTGATGATGGCCACCATTTAAAGGTTAAACTGGGTCAGTTAATATATGAACATTCTGTATATCTCCCAAATACACTTGAATTTCTACAATATGATGGTAGTTTTGAATCTCTGTGTGACCTGTTAAGTGATGATATGCAATTATGGTAAAAATACTTTAACGTGCTGTACATATAACACACATACACACATGCTAGACAATATTACTCAGTACATGTTATCATTATTCACCTCGTTGGTGTTTGATGACAGCACACATTAAGTATCAGTTCTATAATTACCTTCTGCAGTCCGGAAGATAATCACTTAGATGAAATTTTAAAGCAAAGTTGACATTTTATCTAAGTTGTTGACTGTTAGTTTCCTTAACAACCATTACAAGTTGTAGAAGTTGGCTGGTTGTTGAGTAAGTCAGTGTTACAGCAGTATAGTCAGTGTCAGTGTTTTTCTTTATACTGTTTTAACATCAAGGAATTTTTGACCATGTTACAGCTGTGGTTCTCAACTGATAAAGGAAAATTACTGTACATCAAACTGTGTAAAGAAAGAACAATAACAGAGATTTTGCCACCATAACACTGTAACTCTCAGTGACCAGCGGCCGATGTGATGTCATGATTCCCTAAATGACACAGCAGTGAACCAACCTCAGCCGACTGGTCCACTACCCAACACTCACCCTGCACATGTCATCAAGGTCCAAGACGGCTTCCTCTAGGGTGTGGAGCTGAGGGAACTGGCCTTGGATATCTTCTAAACATGTTCTCAGACGACTAACAACCTGGGGAAACAAGTTATGTCTTATCACACAAACAAAAACAAACAAACAAACACACACACACACATGCACACACACACACACACACACACACACATAAAAAAACATTCACTGTGAAGCTATTGATTATCTTTATTTCTCTCCCACTTGTGTGTTGTAGCAATTAGGGGGAAATAAACCTCATTAATTGAAATAAATAGTAGAGGAGAATCATACAGGGTGTCCCATAAGTCGTGCACCATAGGAAAAATACGTCACTACAGTAAATTATCGAATGTTTCATCATCTGCTTCATCTGGGTTGTGATGTGTTGTGTTGGGTTACCTTTTTAAGAGTAAGAGGTGGGTTGGTTTCGTCCCAGTGCTGGCCATCACCCCACCTGAAGGACTCTGGCTCAGTACCCAGCATATCTAACTGATGGGACAGAGACTGAGACATGGCGGGCGAGAGTCCCGTTGAGTATGATGACAGGTGTGAGTAAGACCTTGACATAATATCAAGGTTGGAGCCCTGTGAGATGCTGAACTGTGGAGGTACAAGAAATACTTCAGCAACTTGACTCGTAAAAAACAAACGAATACAGATTAAGATGTAAAGTTGAGGTAAATATTAACATTAATTTATTGTTCGGGTTTATCCTCCGCTATGAAAACTGTATTGTATTCAGAGCATTGTACTGGACTACTGTATTTCTTAACCAAAATAATGCACTTTACCGCTAGACCAGTTTGCATACAAGTTTTCAGTACAATATAGCATTTGGAAACTTCTGGGTTATATTCCACAAATGAAACTAAGATGGACATAGACAGATACAGACAGATACACGAATTGGCTTTAAGACAGAAGAAATTTAATACCAAGTTGTGTGTTAGTTTCTGATACATACCTGTGAGTATCTTGCCCACTGCTCCACCCGACTCTCCTTCTTGCGCACCAATGTAAAGTTCCCCGTGTTGTCACATTGTGGGCTGGCTGAGTCTCGTCCATCAAATAATATGGAATCCTGAAAATATTGAAATATTGTTTTATTTATCACCAGTTTAATTTATGTTGGTAGCTATAATAATAAAACAAAATTAATTTCCACTTTGCAATAATAAAACAATTGCATTCTGCCATCTTAACTTGCCCATTACAGTACAGTTAGGTATCCATTCACAGCTAAGTGACCTGCAGTGCTGTGGGTGTAAATTAGTTTCCCTCAGGCCAAGTGGTGAATGTTGTATTAACTCACCATAAAAAAGTGTGATATTCTTATATAAATCAATAATTATCTGAAAAACCTTTACCTGGCTGTCAGATCTCCTTGACAGCCCCTGATAGTCAGAGACGGGGCTGTTGCTGTCAGTCCTGGTGGAGAGAGCAGCGTGAGAGGAGAGTAGACCGCGGTACTCAGACAGAGGACTTGCACTATCAGCTGTTGAGCTACGGGCGGACATGCTGCCAAAACTGCTGTCATGATCACACTCTGGGGACAGGCTGCTGTCCTTGCCAGAGGGAACCTGAAAACACACAAGGTTTAACGTTAGATACAGCTAGACCACAGAGCTCATAAAATACAACTGTATAATGCAAATGAAAAACATGTCTGGTGTCTCATAAGCCGCTGGGACACACACAACCCTTTTAACTTGCTCTTAGGAAACTCTTAACTTCTATTACAGTAGACTGTATTTAATTTATTTTTTTATATAAGACAAAAATGTAGCAATATTTTGTTATTTTGTTATTCAAGAAGTAAAAAAAACAAAAAACAAAAAACAATCCACTGACTTTAGGAGTGTGGAAGCAAAACTTTACTTAGCAAGGGAAGAAAATCTAACCTAATACAAGGAAGAAAATGAAGAATAAATCAACATTATACTCACACTACCAACAGTGTGTGGAGGAGATGAACTAAGAGTGTGAAGCACTGGTGTTCTCCTCTTGTTGCCTGGTGAAGTGGCAGACATACTGGGCGTTCTCACCAGACTATCCTCAATGACACCATCAAGAGGGCTGTTGGCAAGAATAAATATCTCCGGTTATTACCCCCTCAGCCTTCCTTATCTCTTACCCCCTCATTACTACCAAGTACTCTCCCTAATGAACCAATCACTAGTAAAATATCAGGTAAAATGTGAGATGTTAAACCTTTGATCCCTAGTCACAGTATACTCCATGATTACTACCAAGCCTGATAAACAGTGAACCACATACACCCTGACTAAGTGTACCAAGGACCTCTCAAGATAAAACACAACAAAAGCCTCAAGAACTCCAACTAAATCTCATTAATTTTGTTACTTGTATAATTAGTGAGATCAAAGGAAATAACTTAATATTTATAATATTATACTCAAGAGGAAATAAACTCTTATATCAACTCAAGAGAGAACTGAGGAATGGTTATGGTTTACGAATTCGAAACTATAAATTTTTGAGTTTGTTGTTGCAGCTTTTTGTTGTCACTTTCACTATTTAAGAGTAAAGATGACAGACTCCAAGACCCAGACACAAGCATTTACTTCTAGGTTTTGGCAGACATACTGAAAGACAAAGACAGACAGACAGAAACACCTACTTCCAGGTTATAACAATATTGAGCTTGAGGGAACCGGAAGGATTGAGGTTGACTGTCATAAGTTGAGGATGTGGTGAGAAGAGGTCCTTAGTCTCGCACACCTTGTTGCCGATCACCACCGTCTTGCCCAACACTCGCACCTCCACGGCTTTAATCAGCAACTGAAATACGAGGTCAACGTGTTTACTCGCCAAGTCCAATTTTTTTATCGTAAAATAAATATTATACTTTTGAATAATGTTATCTTACTGATTATGGTCCTTGTTGTACCGAGCTCCAACGATCATAAACAAACATAAAATATCCTTTATGTGGTGTTGTTGTCCTCGATTCACCCCAAACAAAATAAAAAATGGGAAATGGGTAAAGATAAAGACGTACCATTTCCCCGATGAGTCCCTTTATGACGGTTCTCTGGTTGTCCCAGTTCTGAGTATTGTCCTTACACACTCTGCCTCGTGACTTCCACTTCTGAGTACCATGTTTGAGAGTCACCTCGAACACATCGCCAGGACACAGTCGAGCAAATCCTTGTATACCTTAAACAACATAAAATACAAATATGGCTTAATAATAAAATACAGGAATTTATTTTAATGATTGTTGTAAATATTAATAAAAGTGGAAGAGGGTGAAAGAGTACAGTTGTATTTTGGATTTTTCAACAGGGGTTTTGGTTTGTACTGTAGAGGCTAAGCAGACATGTCTCATGGCCCCTGTCTGCTTTGCCATTAATAATTTTTTGAACATTCAAGGAAAATTTAAGAATTAGTCACCACCACAACGGGCCAGATGGGGATTAGAGAATAAGAGAATTTATCTACCAGCATCTAGACAGGTGTTAGGATTACATTTAGTTAATTAGACTTAAGGTAAGGATATAAGAGAATTCTCAAAGGTGATAAATGACTAAATCCTCTTATTTCCTAATATCTAATAATAACTAACCTTACCCCATCTGATTCTATGTAAGAGGAACAACTTGTACAATGGCATCCCTTCCATAACAATGCCCTACCTGAGACACCTGTGCGGTATTAACCCAGTTACAGATATTTAATGTATAACTCCCACCTTTCATTTCCAGAGTTAATGTGCCGATGAGTTGCTCAATTTGTACTTCTAAAGCACAAAGAGTCTCTGTACACTCCCTGTAGCCCGATCTAACGTTGCTCAGGGCTGACGCTTTTTCCTTGCCGGGCGAGAGAGCGTATGCGTAGGCCATTGTCCTCACCTGTGGTATAATAATATGTTGTGTGTGATGTTTCCACTGATGATGATGATGATGATGATTGTGATAATATTGGAGATGATGACCATAGTGATTATTTTCAAGCACCATAACACTATACCCTCAGCACCCCCACATACCCCATCTCTCAGCTTCTGGTGGAGGGTGTACTGATCCTGCAGGTCCTCCAGTTTGCTCAGATGGTATTCGATCCTCTTGAGGTAGCGCTCGGCAGCTTTTATTTGCTGTAAAGTCATAGGAGATAAATTACAAACACGTCATGGTGGAAAAACTCATCTGAACGAAGAAACAAACATGAATTAAGTTTGGATTGATATCATAATTAATAAACGTATGATGAAATAAGACTCGATTGATAACATAATGAATGAAGTGTGATGAAATAAGACTCGATTGATAACATAATGAATGAAGTGTGATGAATACAGTATTTTGGCCATAATCCTTATCACACCAATTCTGTTCAAAATCTCATTATATGTACAGTATTAATTTTCATGCTGTGATAAAACAGTCAACTAAATTTGTTTAAAAATGATCTATAATTAAAAAAAAAAGGTCTCATCAGAATACAACCAAATTTATATCTGAATGAAAAATACACAGTGGTGAGTGGGTGATATATACTGTGGTTATTGTAGTGCTATAATTAATCACACAAGGATAATGGGGTCTTCAAATGGCCATTATTCAGGTAATGGCTTAGTTAGGCTGAAGCAAACTGTCCATAAAGCTATATAATTCAGGCATTTTCACCTATTGTCTGTTTATAAATACCGTAATTATATAAAAAAATATTCAGGTAATAATATATGAAAGTGAGTCTGTACTGTACTTAATCTTCCAAGTGTTGACCTGACGGAATAAATACACAGTAAAAATATATATAATTATTTTCATGGAGTTCTGAAAGTGGGAAAATATCACTGATAAGTTGTGTAACATACATGCATCATCTAACACCATGCTGCTATATCACAACACTGTAGAGTATAGACTAACAAGGCGTGCGGTGGAGTAACAATAACAACTGCGTCATTAAACCAGAGGAAACAGTTTATGTGTAGATGTCCAAATTAACTCCACCACTTTATTTCTTGTTACTTTTCGACATCAAATTCACCATCAACTTCCTTTTGTCAGTGAACAGAAAGTAAATCCAGAGGTGGAACTTAAGAGAAAAGAGTCCAAGAACCACTGATTGAAGGAGACTACATTATCCTACCTATAACTACCTTGGATCAATAGGATATAGTAGTTAAGTTTATTTTAACAGGTTAGTGGTTACTGTGGTCTGCCTGGTAAGTGATTGTTTAACTCGTCTTACCTTTGTTCCACTTTCAAAATCATTTTCTATACAAAACAAGGAAGCTTTTACTGAAGATCTGTCAAAAATCTCAAGAAATAGAGTAGTGGACTTGAAGTAAACCTCCAGTCAGAACAATGAAGTATATTAATCCATGCTGCTTCAATAGTACTGGAAATACTTCACCACTTTCTGATGCCACAAAATGAGAAAAGTCATATCAGAATATTATGTCAGGTCAGAGATGTCACAGAAAACAGAAAACAATGTCAATAAACAACCAGAGGCTTCTCACTAGTGCTGTGGAGAGTATCAAGGAGGGAAGTCAGTGTTAATACTAATAATCTTTCCTTTATCACTGATGCAGGAACAAGATGCCAGTAACAGATAGGAAAATGACTATGAAGTGATTTAGTGCTGAGTAAGACAAATCACTGAGTAAGACAATCATATGTACGTATATATTAGTGTCCGGGAGTGAACATATCTTTAGTATTGATATGAAGAGTGTTAGCAGGAGTGTGACAGGCAATGCATATTCCCTAAGAGAACACACCGAGTTCTTCACGCCCTCCATGGTGTTGGTTCATGAATACATTTAAAGATTCTGATCATAATTATGTTATTTACTTGTCACCACTAAGCTAAAGAATACAGGTGACTTATAGGACTTTGGAGTGTCTGCATCTGCTCAAGGCTTTACTGGATGAGTTAGTCAGTGGTGCCTTATTGTCTTCACCACTAGTCGATAACCATTCAGGCAGTCAGCCATTTCTATGTTATACATTGATAACTACTGGACATAAGAAGGCTCCTGACAGTACCTGAACATGTGCCAGTGTTTCTCTGATAGTTGCAATAATGGATCTTTATAATAAAAACATTTAATAAACTCCCTTTAAGCAAAAAGTCTGTTCTGTATCCACAAAATAACATGAGTGACCAAGAATCTGTTTCCGGATGTGTTCGGCCACACTTAAAAACCAACCTCACACTTGAAAAACACCATCAGTCAGGTCAGAAAAGACACAAATTAATGGCAGGTAAACATTAAACGGTAAAACTGTTAATATTACACTTCAGGATGGATGTGTTCTCTCTTGGAATATATACAAAACTTAAGGGCAAGATCTTCATTCAGTAGCTAAACATGACAGAGTACCTCATGCTAATCTGTTGACTCTTACCTTCTCAACCTCATACAGTCGACCCTGTGACTGCCAAGGAGAGAAAAATGGTTGTGTTAGCCTGTCTTGGTCACCTTAACTATGTGGGTAAAACTATTGAAGAAAAAAGAGGACGAATGACGTGTGTTCCCAGTGACTGAGAAGCAAAGCTCGTGAAGAATTCCTTTTCTATATCATTCATTCTAAATGGTGATGTAGTCAAATGAGCCTAAATTTAACCTAATCATTAGGATTGGGACCTATTTTTAATGGATCCTGATTATAATGGTAGAATTAGGTTAGGTTCAGACCCATTTAAATAAAAATATAAACTAAAAACATGTAATTCATAGTACAGTAAATACAAATTAATTTCTCACTGCTTTAGGTAAATCAGTTAGTGCTCTTTCTCCTCAAGAACTTCATAACATTACACACAGTGTGCAGGAATGTAGTGTAGAGTATTGTGGTGATGATGACGACGACAGTTACAGACAACAGGTGGCAACTGTATTGGGCAGTAAATATTCAAGAGCATCAAGTGGTATTAAGTCCACCATAACCACTTGCTGAAGATTCCCATCTTCCTCCCTCCCACAATATGTGCAAAAATGGAATGCATGGAACATGGCCACCGTCCCTACAGCTAACTTCCACTGATGATGACTGCTATTCCTACAGGTAACTTCCACTGATGATGACTGCTATTCCTACAGGTAACTTCCACTGATGATGACTGCTATTCCTACAGGTAACTTCCACTGATGATGACTGCTATTCCTACAGGTAACTTCCACTGGCGATGACCACCGTACCTACATTATAATAATAAGAAGGATGGGCAAGATCATTACCCAACGTCTTTAAAACAATAAATAACACTAATCCCTCATGTGGCCAGAACATTATGAGTTAGGTGGTGACTACAGACAGACAGACAAGAACACCTCACCACTGTCACTATTACCTGCCACCAGACTGTCCTTCACCTGTGTCACGAGAAGAAGCCCAGTAGAGGAATTATGAACAGTGATATACAGTAGTTAGTGGTGCTCAACACAGGGGGAGGAAAAACAGACAACTGGAAGAAACGAACAAATGGGTCGGGTCAATTACAGGTCATTGTGTGGGAACAGTGTAGCGGCAGACTGTGTTATCTCACAAGCAACTGTAGGGAGGAAGAACTTTGACCTAGTACAGTAGATGATATTGATTTCTATTGATTATATTTAAAGGATTTTGCCATAGATTACGTTAAGAAGTAAGCCATAGGTTTGCCATAGATGACATTTAAACAGCATTATAAGGGCTCGTGTGGTAGTTTGTCACGTTACCAATATCATTTGTCCTTTCCATTAGCCACACATTCTCCTCTTAAAGATTGTCATGATTAAGTGTTTCATAACAAGAACCAAACAATGAGTGGGAGTAAAGTCCATCACTATCTGAGTGTGTTCAAGGAGCCATAATGGTATATAAACCATCAGTTATTGAAGGTAATGTTTAATACTAAGGAAACTTCCAAGTCAAACGGGCCAAGACTCGTGTAAATAAAAATGGAGAACACTTATCCATAAACCTTCATTTTATAACAGTACAGTAAAACGGACCCTTGATAAAATGAACTTTCCTCTCCATAGAGTCTTTTAAATAGAGGTTACACTATATTAACATCATGAAGCTGTAAAATTAATCTTAACTCAAATCTCAATGTCTTTCTCAGGTTATTAAATTTAAATAATCTTTATATGGACAAACAGACATCCACAAGACTATATACACCTCAATATTATCAGGAGGGGGACAACAGGCATATACCTCTCTCTCTATGTTACTTGCGAGACTTTAATCATGTTCCGGGTAAAGCACGTTAACTGACGGCTATGAGGTCCCTACTCCCCCATCATATGTGTGGAAATGGAACACGAGGAACATGAAACGCCTACTGATGATGGCTGACGTTTACAGGTTTAGAAATGGAACACGAGGAACATTGAACATCTTACTGATGATGGCTGATGTTTACAGGTTAAGCCTATCACCAAGCACTACTAACGAGCCATTAACAGCAGGATGTAGTGAGGCAATATTATAGAGCAAAAATAGCATCAAAAGGAAGAAAATGATTTTTATTAACCCTTTAGTGTATATCAACATGAGTATGTGTGTGTGTGTATGAGGAGGGAGTGAAAAAACAAAAGAGGTACAGTATGGCAACATGCATGCAGTTTATGGCTGATTTAATTCTACAAAAAACATACTGGAAATCTGTAATATTCAAGATACAAATACTGTACTGTATATTAAACCTTTTGAATCCTCTGAAACATGTTACAGTAGTTTTATATTTGTGGGAAACTAATATAGTAATGTAAGTGAGTGAGTCTCAAGTCCTGTTTATCATAAAAGCCCAAACTGAGAAAATAGTATTGAACTTCTTAACTACAGTCATGTGAAGTCATATATTTTATATGACGAAGGTTGTAATACTGTTTTATCAAGTCTTAAGTGTCTGTGTGAACTGGGAAGGAGGGCATTATGGGTACAATACAGCAATCCTCATCTTAAGAATGTGTTGTTAGAGTGTGTTGGTTGGCAGAGTATGTTGATAGAGTGTGTTGGTGTCACTTATACCTGGTGGAGGTGAGAGTCTTGCTGTGCCTGGTGTAGGGAATCTAGGTCTTGCCTGGTGACCGCTATACAGTCCCTCAGTCCCCGGGCCACGCTGGTGCTGATCTGGGAGGCCCGCTCGGGTCGTGGGGACTTGGGGACCTTCACGTGAGGCGGCAGGGCCAGTACCCGCCGCACGTCCCTGGGTGATGATCCTGTCTGGCCCAACACGCCCTGACCTGCCCATCCTGCTCTGGCTCCGGCCTGCTGGGGAGATCCTGCCCCTGATCCTGTGCGGCGGTGGGTGAGTAAGCCGCCGAAGGATCTTGAAAAAAAAAATTGAAGTGTTTTATTTAGACATAACTCAGTGTACTGTACAGTTGCCGTATAATAGTAATAATACTGGCCTGGTTGAGTCTTCTGAGAGGTGAACTGAAGAGACATCACATGAAACATAAAGATAATCAAAGACCATGAAATATTATACTGTTGTTGCACACTTTGTACCAGTAATGTTATGGCTAACTTAAGTATTTCAATGTGGTTTGTGTCTATATATAATAATCTGCCTTGTATGTTTATTACTCTGTCTTCCATATACTTAATCTGGTTAGTTACATGAACACACCTGGATCGCGTGAGGCCCTGATGTAGAGGAGAGCCATCACGCCCTTCACAACGCTCACGTAAGGACATGACCCCTCCAGTATGACAGAGCTCCTCCTCCTCCTCCTCCCCCTCCTGCTCCTCCCCCTCCTGCTGCTGCTGCTGGTGGTGGTGGTCTGGGTCTTCTCGTTCGTCGTCGGGAAGGTGGGCCGACTCGTACCCGGGGTCTGAGAGAGCTGCGTGTAGGCAGGGACGATGAGGGGCATCCGACGAGGAGCAACACGATGATGACGCCCCCGAAGAAGACGTGTCGCTGCGAGAGGAGTTGCTACGGGTGGTGCCGGGGACGCCTGCCCCCCCCTGGGATGGTCCCGGGGGGTTCAAGCTGCCCCCTACCCCCCCCTCAACAACAACACTGTGGTCAACGTCTCCAGCAGCCAGCGGCTCCCCCACCTCCCACAGTTCCACTCCCAGCCGCACCTGTAATGTCAACCAGGCACCTGTGAATGCTACACCCCGGCCAGGTAACTATACATAATCATCTTACACACTATATATATTATTTATACATAATGTATAAGTATACATAATTATCATACTTACTGTACATAACCAGCTATTATACATACCCAACTGTATCTGGGAGTAAGTACAGTATACACATGTAATTTCTGTATACACACAACCATACACAAGGTGTCAACACTGTACCATTAGTGGAAGTGTAGTGGGAGGGTGTGGCAGGGTTAGGGTGTGGCAGGGTTGGGGTGGTGTAGGGTGTGGCAGGGCTGGGGTGGTGCAGAGTGTGGCAGAGTGGTGTAGGTAGTGGCAGGGCTGGGGTGGTGTAGGGTGTGGCAGGGCTGGTGTGGTGTAGGGTGTGGCAGGGCTAGCGTTAGGGTAGGGTAACGTTAAGGAGGGAGGGGAATGGAGGAGAAGGGAAGGGAGGAGAGGGGAAGGGGAGACAGATGAGAGAAGAGGAAGAAAGAGAGGGGAGAGGAAGGGAGGAGAGAACAAGAGGAAGAAAGGGAGGGGAAGAGAAGGGAGAAGTGATATCTCTAGGAAAATGTTGCCTCAGTCACTCACAGTCACTCATAACGTAATTACCAGTTATGCGCATAAAGACCCTTATATAGTTGTTGTTGTTGTTGAAGCGCAGTAACGTCACTCAAGAGGTTACTCATGAGTGTCGACATACACACCAACACCACAGGAAGTACACAACAACATCCGTTCTAAGTATGGACGTCACGTGATGAGAAAGACATTATATTACTCATACACTCACGTCATTACTCTATTTATTTACATGGTTACTCATTCAATTTGCATGGTTACTCATTCATTCACCTCATTACTCATTCACTGACGTCATTCAAGTATTATTATGTCACCTTAACGTTACCTGGGGTTGGATTAGGTTAGGTCAGGACATAGATAGGTGTGTCAGGTTCAAGGTTCAACAGTGGGCCAAATCCCATTCACCAAGGAGGCCGTGACGTCATCGACTTTACCAGACCTTACAGTTGATTATAAAGAGACCGACACTGAGCTGCTGTGTATATTAGTCACTGTGCCTATTAAATTTATACCACGAATCCTCCACCAACACACTAGGCTATAATTTGTGTCTATATTATCGGCTCTGTATCTGTCATTTCTCTAGCTAAATAAACTGTTTCATTATCAATATCGATATAAAACTCGAGTCTTGGTTTAAGTTGGGTGGCCATTTTGGGACGTGATTTTAGGGTCGTAGTTAGGTTGTTGTGTACAGTTACGAGAAGGATTTTAAGATCTGAGAATTTAACTTTTGATCGTAGTTTACGACAGTTAGTTGGATACGTGGTTGAGTGTACAGTAAAGAGGAATATTCAACACAAGAATCCCTGGGACCACGATGAACAGGAGCCAGTGTTTACATTCAGCTGAGTGTTTACATGACGGTGTTAGGACGGAAGGAAACTGACGGTAGATGTCCTGGGAAACTCCAGGCCGGATATCTCCCCGTCTGCTGCTGCTGCCTGCTCGTGTGTTGGGTCATGTTACCGCGGGTGGAGGGGTGAGGGGTGTGGGATGGTGAGGGAGGTGTGGGAGGGTGAGGGTCGTGTGGGAGGGTAGTGTGGGAGGATGAGGGTTATGTGGGAGGGTCGTGTGGGAGGATGAGGGTGGTGTGGGAGGGTCGTGTGGGAGGATGAGGGAGGTAAGGGATGATGAGGGATCCAGTACACCTTCCTTCAGCAGATCCTACATAGAGACGACCACCAAGGCGGAAGTGGTGAGGTCCTATTGGTGCTGGACTTCACCAATCACCACGCGGTTCACTAGGGAGGGAGGGAGGGAGGGAGGGAGGTAAGAAGAGCCTCATCAGCCTCCTCAATCCTCACATGAGTCACTTAACTCACTTATTATAAACAGTGAAGTGATATGATGTGTTGTGTGAGTCAGTGTGTGTGTGTGTGTGTGTGTGTGTGCAAGGGATCCACAACAGGTCTCCACACCTACATGGTCAAGACAGGTGGGTATGTGAACTATTAGGCGTATAATCATTAACCTGCCTCAAGAGTTCGGGTATGAGATATCAACAACTTTTTCTCTAATGAACCCAAACACCTCCCCCCCTCTCTCTACAGTGAAACAGACGCCAGCAGTGACTCATACAGTGATGGTGACCTGTGTCTGTCTTGTAGTTGGTGACAGTGACAGCCTCCTTACTGTCTACCGTCACACACACACACACACACACACACACACACACACACACACACACACACACACACACACACACACACACACACAATCTCTACTAATAACAACACAACAGTTATCAAAACAACTATGACGTCACCCCAGTCATCTCTGCCCTCACCACTATAGACAGACAGACAGACAGACAGACATCCAACCAAAGTAAACATACACAGTCTATACTTAGCAGCATCAACTGTCTCTCTCTTAATAACAACAACAACTACCACTACTACCAGCATGACTACCACCACCACCTACCACCATCACAACAAGAGACAGCTGCAACGGACGACTCACTTGGCTGCCACTAACGCCCCTGCTCCTCCTCCAGTCTTCCTCCTCCTCCTCCTCCAGTCTTCCTCCTCCTACCTCCTTAACCAGTCCTACTTCACTAGTTTTCCTCCTCCTCCTTCACTAGTTCCCCCCCCCCTCCTTCACCAGACCTGCCTACACTACCATCATACTACGCCCACACCCCACACCCTCCCTCCAACACCACCACCACTACACCCTCCCTCCAACACCACCACCACTACACCCTCCCTCCAACACCACCACCACTACACCCTCCCTCCAACACCACCACCACTACACCCTCCTCCACACCACCACCACACCCTCCCTCCCACCACCACTACACCCTCCCACCACACCCCCCACACACCACTACACCCTCCCTCCTCCCTGCCACACCACACCCTCCCTCCCACCACCCACCCCTACACCCCTCCCTCCCACCACTACACCCTCCCTCCCACCCACCACCACCACCCTCCCACCCACCACCTACACCTCCCTCCACCACCCACTACACCTCCCTCCACCACCACCTCCCTACACCACTACACCCTCCCTCCTCCACCACTACCACTACACCCTCCCTCCACCACTACACCATCCCTCCACCACCCACACAACACCTGGTAAAAGGCGTCACTTGGTTCAGAAGCAAGTGTGGGCCGCCAGACTTGTCAACACACTACACCCTCCCTCCTCCTCCTCCTCTCTCTGACGTGTACTAGAAGAAGAAGAAGAAGAAGAAGAAGAAGAAGAAGAAGTCCTCACAACAGTCCCTAATGGAAGAATCTATTGAACCTTAAATCCATTACCTTTGTGTACACGTAAATACATACAATTATACATACATACATACATACATACATACATACATACATACACACCCAACTAGTGAGCTGTTGTTTGTATATAAAAGTCCACGTGCTATATGGACTGATGATATACATACATACATACATACATAAATACATACTTACATACATACTTTCATGGGTTGGGTTGGATTAGGGTAGATTTGGTTAGGTTAGGTTAGATTGGCCTTATCACCATCTACTTATATTCTACCACCATTTACTTATAATCTACTACCATCTACTTATAATCAACCACCATCTACTTACTGTATATTCTACCACCATCTACTTATAATCAACCACCATCTACTTATATTCTACCACCATTTACTTATAATCTACTATCATCTACTTACAAACAACAATTACTTACATCACTATTGAGCATGACGCGCTACCACTTAACAAAACCCAAACTTCTTCTTCACTACGGTCACATTATCACACTTTTATAAGTAGGAGTAGTAGTACTTTTAAGACCACTACGTCATCAATATTCACTTTATTTCTTCAAGTACGCATTGTAAGTATATAATGCATCTTTACAAGTAACTTCACGAACACTTTTTTATCACTAAGTAATTTTAGAAACGTTGGTAGTGTCTATTTTAGTACATATAAGTTACTTGAGATATTTCTTCCACTTAAAATCAATACACTTTCAAATACTTTTCTTCTTGGTTACTTATAAACGAATTATCACTTAAGTAAATATTGTAAGTGAATAAGATATCGACACTTTATAATATCTATTTTCTTTTGTCAATGATTTTGGGGAAAGTAAGAGCGTAGATAAGTATAAAAGTGAGAGAAGTTAAGGCACGTCCTCCCCACCTTAATGTCTCCACAACACTGAGGGCCCCGGAGGTTGCCGACCTAAGCTCCCCCCTCCCTAAGTCCAGACGCAAGATGGGCCCATGTTAACCTCACCACCACGAACATGCCTAAAGGTAAATTTGTGACCACGACCTATTATCTATTCTTGTGACTTAAGTTTATTATCTCTTGTGTCCGTATGAAGGTTCTGTCCCTCGTGGCACACTAAACAATGGCACTATCCTCATCCAGTGCCATAATCTGTCTCAATTGGTATATAGATTAGATAATATTGTTCACCAGTTTTGTCAATAATGTTGTTGGAATTATTATAACAATGGTTGAATTCTCTCTCTCTCTCTGTTCCCACTTCCTTCTCTCACTCCTCTCTCTTTCCTCACTTCTCTCTCTCTCTTACCTCTGGTTCCCCTCACCCTTCTCTACTCCCCTCTTGTAAGACGACGCTGTCACCGCATCCTACTTCCCCTTCCTGCCCTCTAACTCCCTCTCCCTCACCCCCCCAACCTCCTCACCTCTCTACCATCCTCCTCACCTCCCCTCCCTCCACCTCTCTACCATACCTCACCTCCCCTCCCTCACCTCTCTACCATACCTCACCTCCCCCTCCCTCACCTCTCACCACCATACCTCACCTCCCCTCCCCTCACTTCCTGTCTCTTAGCGACCATCGGGAAGACAAAACAATAGCAACACCCTGCCCCTACCTCCTCCTCCCCTCTTCCTACCCCCTCCCCCTCTTCTGTT